TCTTTAGTAATGGTTCACTTCATATCATCTCCATCTTCGTAAGTTTCTTTAGAACATTCATCAATCCCTCACTAGGATCTGTTTTCAGTGTCATAGGAGGGCTTTTCTTTTTCTTTACATTCTTTTTCAACCTGAGTCAGGTAGTCCCACCACATGTTTTCAGCTTTCTTTCTTAACTTTTTTTTGAACTGCCTTCCAGAGATGGGTTTTAAGAGATTGTTCACAATCATGGAGCAAAGCTCTTCCCATTTAGTTTCTTTACCAAGAGATCAGATGACCTCTCTGTGAAATGCACCTACACATTCTCAGTGGGGATTTGATGAACTCCAGTTAAGGTAATGTAGATTTTCACAAACTTATCTGACTGATCCCATCGGTAATTACTGATTTTCACTGTGTAGCCCATTGTAATAGGGGCAATCACAGCATCTGGCTTTTCATAGTCAAGAAGTTCTGCTTTTCTCTCATTTCTGCTGGATCTTGTTCTTGATTTTTGTCTCAATCTTGGATTTTTCAGCCATAAGGGCATCACGTACTTTTTTTCTAGGGGCCTTTTCCAGCAGCACTTTCACCTCTTCTAGACCTTCCTGTAACTCTTCCAAAGCTGAAGCCACAGTCGGGCTGGGTCAGTCAAGGCCCCAGCTACAGCTGCACAGGGAAGAGAACAGGAAACACCACCCAACCCATGGGTGGCAGGTCCCACCCATGCCAGTCTCAGTACCCACAGCCCGTACGTTCATACTTGACCCTGCTCATCATTCAGCCCCAAGAAAGTCTTTTCAACAAATGGTGCTGGAACTAAATATCCACATACAAATAAGTAAATCTATGCATAGACTTTATATACTTTTCACAAAAATTCACTCAAAATGGATCCTATGTCTACATGTTAAATGCAAAACTATAAAACTCCTAGAAGACAAAATAGGAGAAAACCTAGATGATCTCAGATATGGGAATAAGGACTTAGATACAACACCAAAGCCATGATCCATGAAAAATAACTGATGAGCTGGACTTCATTAAAATTAAAAACTTATGCTCCCTGCAAGACACCAGCAAGGAAATAAGACAGACCATAGACCGGAAGAAAATATTTATAAAAGACACTTCTGATAGGGGCACATGAGGGCTCAGTAAGTTAAGCATCCAACTTCAGCTCAGGTCATGATCTTATGGTTCGTGGGTTCAAGCCCTGCGTCGGCTCTGTGCTGACGGGTGGGATCCCGCAGCCTGCTTCGGATTGTGTCTTCCTCTCTGACCCTCCCCTGCTCACACTCGGTGTCTCTCAAAAATGAACATTAAAATATACGAAGAATTTTTAAAACGCAAAAACAACTTCAATTAAAAATGGGCCAAAGAGCTTAACAGCACCTCAGCAAAAAAAAAAAAAAAAAAAAAAAAAAAAAAAA